CAAAATAAACTACGAAAGTACCGGTCATAATTTTACTTTAAAAGCCAGCAGGAACGGAACCGCTGTTGAAAAAACATTACGTTATCACTCTTCCTTACGTGCACAATTGTTTAGTAATTATAATATAATAGCACATCAACCATTGGCACCATTAACTGTCGCTTGAATCGTCCTGATTCATTGAAATTGTATCTTAATGATGATAGATTTATTTTTAAACTCGTTTTACATCACCAACACTCTTGTTTGAATTGAGACTGTTGCACTGAATGGCCAGTAAAGTGTCACCATCGTACAAAGAATTTAATAAGTATCATTATATACAGTGGTCGAAATGGACATTTAGGAGTCACTGCATGAAACTATAGTAGTCCTGCACACCCATTAAAACATTTTAACAAAGTACTGGCATACATGTTTAGTGTTCTGAGAAGTGCCTGTATGGCGCACCGTGGTATACCGGCCCACTTCGATCATTGATCATGACTCAGTCTAAAAAAAAAAAAGGAACAAATTATAATTAAGAAGTAAAAAGACGAATAGAGATTATTGTCTTTCATAATGATAAAAAATTCTATATTGCCTAGCGAGGGTACCCAACTGATGAAATAATGCATTTTAATCTTTATAAGTAGAAACGCATACTTAATTAGCTATACTGAATATCAGGTTGATTTTTAGTTTCGCTCTAAATATATAGTTACTCTGATCCAAAGATAATGGTAATGTGCCACATGGAGTGAAGCACATGGAGAAATACATGCAGGCAGTTAGAATTAGCGATTGAACTGTTCGAAAGTGGTAAGCCTAATATTTCACTTGTGAACATAGGTGAGTGTTTACTCTCCAAAGGATCACAAAAACTATATAGCGAACGATGTGCTCTGGAGCATCGAAACAAAGACTGGGGATTTAAGGAAAACATAGGAGAGGTTTTGAGCTAGAATGTGACATGCAAGTCTATGTAAGTAAAACACTGAAACATGATAGTGGGTTTGTAATTATGTGGAGATTCTCTCCTGCTGGAGTATGGGGAACATGTGTATACTGTAGGTATTGTAAGGAAGAAGCAGTATCACAATATTCTGGTTTTACGAAAAACCGGTGATAATGTTTAGTTAGCTCTGAATTTGAATTTCGGCAGGATTATAATCTAAAATATACCGGTATGCTAAGTAAGAAAATAAAAGTGATAGTGGCATGAACAGTATGAAATGGCAAACTTAAAGCCACGACACTAGTCCAATTGAAAACATAAAATACAAGTTGAAACTAATGTTGCACAAGTTAAGCTTACTGATCTACACAACTCTGAGAGACTGTACAGCAAAAATGGAAGGGAATACCAGTTGTTAGCTTTAAAACAGGGTGTTATCTATATAGCTCATGCAAGAGAAAGATCTGCTAAGTAGTGAATTTTAAATTTGTTATATTTTTCAAATAAACTTCTGCGTGATATTTATTAACTATGTTCGCAAGTTTTCATGAAAACTTCATAGTTTTAACTGATACCAAACGTAATAAATGTATTCAAGGCGCGTTTTAGTTAACCTAGATGATCGCATATCTTAACTTATTTTATAATGAGGTATAGTGAAAAATATTACTGTGAAACACAAACTTTAGGATAACTTACAAAATTTGTTTTTTTACAGCTGAAGTTTTCTGTTTATCTACAGCTGTCCAAAATAAATCTCTAGAACTAACAAGAAACTATTTATGAAACGATATGATATATTAGTTTGTATGATGTGTAATTGATGAAACAAAACATAATGAGAATATACAGGCAACAGAAATGATAAAAACTAGAAGATTTAAATATCGGAATAAGAGAACAGAAAGAAAGAGAGCAATATGAGGAAAGAAAGTGTTAAAAACAGTATAGAAGGAAGAAATACGGAAAAGTGGAAATAACATACGGGTAGCACAAAGAGACAGGAAATTCCAAGGATAGAAGGAAATAAATAAAGGGAGAGAGAGAAGAAAATACCTGGAAATATTTACATTTTTGGAATACAAAACTTTACAAATCTATTTAAAATGAATTTCAACACTTGTTTTTTTTTTTCGTTATGAAGACATATTTTTTTCATGTGAAATTTATTAACATGCAATTGTGATGCAACGTTACCAATATTAATCACTGAAGCTGTATGCTTTTTAGAAGCAAACTTCTTGATTAATTTAGAATACAGAAAAGTATGGGTATATAAAAAAGTATCATAGGCAAGCTGCTGTTTGAAAACATGTTACTTCAGAAAATGTAATTTCTTTTTTAGATTTTCTGCCGTTACATTATTTTTCGTAACTGGCATTAAACTCTATACCGACAAAATAATCGAGATGCATCATTAGAGAGCGTTATTTAACATGTTACGTTAATCGAGATGCATCATTAGAGAGCGTTATTTAACATGTTACGTTAATCGAGATGCATCATTAGAGAGACTTATTTAACATGTTACGTTAATCGAGATGCATCATTAGAGAGCGTTATTTAATAAGTTCTGTGTATTTTCAATGGCTGTGTATAAAAACAAAAGACTGAAAGCATTACTTGTTTCAGGAAAAAATTTTTTCGTGATCATTTGAGAATGTGCTGCAATGTTTGATGTTAGGGGAGGTAAATATTTGAACGCTAGTATTAAGTATTTTGTACAATAGATAATATAGAATGCATACCACTAACGATTAACGCTAGTCAGGAATTGTGTTTAATTTTGTTCGTTTTCTATGTCGATCCATAATAACGTTTTAGTGATACTGAAGTTATTGTGTTTATATCTAACGGTCATGTCGATCCATAATAACGTTTTAGTGATACTGAAGTTATTGTGTTTATATCTAACGGTCATGTCGATCCATAATAACGTTTTAGTGATACTGAAGTTATTGTGTTTATATCTAACGGTCATGTCGATCCATAATAACGTTTTAGTGATACTGAAGTTACTGTGTTTATATCTAACGGTCATGTCGATCCATAATAACGTTATAGTGATACTGAAGTTATTGTGTTTATATCTAACGGTCATGTCGATCCATAATAACGTTTTAGTGATACTGAAGTTATTGTGTTTATATCTAACGGTCATGTCGATCCATAATAACGTTTTAGTGATACTGAAGTTATTGTGTTTATATCTAACGATCCATAATAAATGTAAGATTATATATATATATAACATTCTGATCGAGTATGCGTTGTGCAAGTACGCAATATATTATGTGTTTTTTCAGGAATTAACTGAAACTGAGAAACGATATAAAGAAACAGTTGCTTTCAACATACTTATTATTCATAGATCTTTAATAGAAAATCTGCATCTTATAATCTAGCCTGTTTCTCTTTCCAACAGACTATCGAACGTAGTATTACTGATGCTGAAATTAGAGCTATCGTAACAATCTGTTAATCAGATAACCTCAATGTTGATTTTCTAGAATGTCCTAAAGGTACTTAGCGTTGCAAGTTGTTAGTTCTAAATAATATATATATTAGCTCACTTATATCTAATTCTGGTTTTGCGTATTCTTTTTTGTTTGTTTGTTTTAGCGCAAAGCCACACAACTGGCCATTACGATATAAATATTGTCCTGTTAAGAAAACAACAAACTTCCTTCACTTCACTTTTTTCTGCATCGTATATATCTCCATTAAATGTATAATATTCTTATTTTTTAGTTACGTTTATTACATTTTATGGAATTGAAAAGTAATCAAACCATCTGAATTTTGTTTTATAGTTTAAATTTTTGTTATTCCGTTAGGTTTGTGCTGCTGTTGGAATGTGTTTCATCGAAATAATTTAAATACAGTAAATAAACATGCTGTTATTCACGCCTGTGTTCTCTTTTTTCTCGTACAAATTGTGTTTTTCTATAAATCCTAACGAATGGAAGGAACATTAACCATAATCTAGATAATAAATCTGATCATTTTTATACAAGTGCTTTTTATATTAGATACGCATTTATCTTGTCCTAACTTAATATTAGTCATCTTTAGCAGATATTTACGTTAGACCAGTTATATTTGCTGCTAAATGGTATTATAACAAGATATATATTTATATATTGATTTTATACCAAGCCTATACAACATATGTAAATCAACATCAAAATATAGTCTTATCTAAGTATAATTTGTAATTAAACAAAACATCAGGTTTTGTTAAATTCAAGACTGTTATTATTATGATTACATCACTCTCTCAAACATAAATATAACATGCAACATTTATTTATTTTAAAGCACTGGATTAGAATAATCGAGATACATAATATCCTACTATACATCTTATTTAGCTATAATAAAATGTATGAGAACATTAATGTTATTTTTTAAACATTCTATAATAGAAACAACCTTTTGTGGCACTCACATCTAACACTAACAGAGTGTTTGTAGTTCTAAAAAAAAACAACCACAAGACAAGGAAAGTAAACACTTCCTTGCTTATTTTCACACACTGTTGTTCTATGTAAGATTCGTTCATTGTATATACTAAACACACATGTAGTTGACATCTGTTTCACCATTAATACCGTTCCTCACCGCTGGGGATTTACATAGCGTTTTTAAGTCGTCTGCTATAAAGAAAGGAAGCTTGTTTACCTCAGATTCAAAAATAGTCTTTTAACGCATAGAAAAAAAAAACAATGTTGGATTCAAACCATTTAGTTATGGAGTATTTGTAAGAAAATAAAAATAAACCAGTACAAAGGAACAGTGTTCAAAATATGATTTGCTATCTCAATGATCAATTAATTATGGGGCCATATGTTCACTGCTGGGTAATACAAGACCTTGACCTAGCCATTTTTAGTTCGCGTATTACCTGTAGTTAGTGTTTACTTAAACATACAACTTACATCTAAGACTTGTTTACGTGTAATTGCAACCAAACAATAAATTTAAAGTTGATTTAAACAAGTGTTACAAAAATCGACACATTTGTCCACACAGTATCCGAATTCTTTGTGAGTTTGTAATCTTTATGATATATACAAAACACACTTTGAAATCTACATACATATAGTTATAACATAGAGCTTTTGATGGAAGCTGATATAATCGTTTCACCAAAACATGCACACCGTTGTTCCATTGCTACAATTGAATTCATATGGCTTTTGAGACACAAGAAAACAGAAACGGATAAGATTGTTTCAGCATAAAGAGTCAGTGCTCAAAATACTATATACAATGATCAGGTGATTATTTATCATAATTTTATAGATATAGCATTACAAAGTTCTTCCGCTTCAAGTGTCTTTATACTATACATATTTCTTTCCCGAATATGCTTGAATATCTTTAAAACCGATTACAGTCGTAAAAAGGTGACGGCACCGACCTGTGCTGGAAGCCTGCGCCACTGAATCCGAGCTGGCAGCTTGGGTTGACGGGAGCTGTGGAAGAAATGAGCCGCTGATTCTCAAATATGTCTCGGACACTTTGAAAACCGTTGACCGCTGATAGTCTGTCCGTGCTGAAGGAGCAGTTGCCAGACACTATGTCACCTGATGTGCTGTAAGGGTACCAGGAAGAAGATGGACTGTTCGTACGACGCCCGTTTCGATAGTTCTGAGCCGCTGATGAGGAAGAATTTCTAGTTAGCTCATTCACTGTGAGAGAACAGGTACTGTTGCCGGAACCTGTGTGGCTTCCGTCGCTGGGGAGGTGTTCGACAACGGGACAGATTCCAGCAGGTCGCATGCCGCATTCTGGAGGATAAAGCCCGGGAGACGTAGAACACTGGTAATTGACGACATTGGAAGAGCTATTACAAGAAGGAAGATCAGAGTACATTGGGGAACGAGTGTAAAACATTCCTGTAGTACAGTGTCCATTAGGATCGGTACAAGGATTTATTCTCTCACGACGAACTTCTTCTGGAGATAAGTTATCTAATGTGGAACAATGTTTTTGAGTATCAATCAGTGAACTTACGGGAAAAGATCCCATCGTAGACGTTCCTGGGTTATCGTTTACAACTGCATCTAATAATGAAGAGTGGGGTCTCTCACCGTTGGTTAAAGCAGATTTACCTTCGAATTTACACTTTATTACTCTTTGCTGCATACATGCTGGATAATCGTAACTATCCATAAGCTCAATTTTGGGAGTTATCGTGGATAAAGGTGGAACTGATGATGTCTGCGGTGACGATCTGTTGAGGGTTTGAGACTGCCGACACTCCCCATTCAGATAAGAGACTGGTTCCCTGGCAGTGCTACTGTTTATGTTGTCCTTAGTGAAGGCTATTTTTGTTTGGATTGTCAGGTTGCTAGAGTCTTGGTTAGCTCGTTTGTTTTCGACACCTAATTCGACTGAGCTACTTCCTAGTAAACTGCTTCTGTCGTTATCATTCTGTATAGTTTTAATTTCTTTTTTCTTCTGCCCTTCTTCCTGAGACACATCCATCGGTAATTTTTGACGACCTGTGTCCTTTTTCTTGAATCGCTTCCTTCGCCGTAAGTAGCTACCGTTGTCAAACATGTTTAAACTGTCTGGATCTAAGGCCCAATAACTTCCTTTTCCCGGTTTTTTATCGTCTCGCGGAACTTTCACAAAACACTCGTTAAGACTCAAGTTATGTCGAATACTATTTTGCCATCCTTGTTTATTTTCTCTGTAAAAAGGAAACCGGTCCATTATAAACTGATAAATTCCGTTCAACGTTATCTTTTTCTCTGGAGAATTTTGAATTGCCATAGCGATTAGGGCAATGTAAGAGTACGGTGGTTTGACCATGTCTTTCGGAGCAGGCTGCGTTGCCTGCGGTACAGCAGGGCCATAAGTCGGGCCATACGGCGAAGTTCTCATAATTGTCGTGGTATACTGGTCCTGGGTGGGGTGGCTCTGACCAGTAAACCCTGATACCATACCAGCACTAGGGTACATGGTATTCACAGCTAATGTAGAATACCCTCCGTACCGATAGTAGTTTTGGTGTTCACCGTATAAAGTATGCATTTTCTTCCTATAATTTTGTTTGTGTATATTTACATGAACGGTTTAGGATATTGAATTTGAAAAAATACGCTAGATCAAACTCGTGATGGTAGAGACACACTAAACAGCCTTGCTTTCTTATGAATAACGGAAAACAAAATTAAACGTCCCTACTAACGGTGGTCTTCGAAGCTTACTTTTGGCAATGTACCAAGCTTAGAACTCAGCCGTGAAATCTTCAGCGCTTTCCTGGCACAATCACTGTCTTCTCTTCCATTCTTTGCATCTTTCCTGCTCGCTCATATTTCTGCAAGTGCTACACATTTGAGCTGTTTCCGCACGAGTTAGGGTTAGCTGGTATTATTCACTGCTCAAACATTAGCGTATGATGTTGCTTGAGTATGACTACAAGTTTTCAGTCCACGCCCACGAGCACTGGCCTTCCACCAATCGTAACGGAACTTTTAGTTCATATACATGTATTGTTTATAGAGGGCGGCCAGGAGATGACCGTACATGTCCTCTAAAGACAGGCAATTCCCGACAGTTAGGAGAGGTAGAATAAAGCTGGATGCGTCGAAGAATCAGTTGATAGATTTACGCATGAGGGCGTGAAGCTTGTGCCAGTTTAATATGTTACGCTAAGTCACTGATTAGGCTAGAGTGGTACTAAAACTGAGAGGAGGGAACCTTTATGATAAAGATGAAGAAGATGTTGAACTTAACGGTTCATATGGGTTTGACTTTGTATACAGTAAACAAGGTTACATAAAGTGTTTAGGTCAACAAATTTTAACTTTTAACGAGATATGTTTTCACTACGTATCAGCAATTTGACTTAAATTCGCTTTCTAGAGTCCATTAAGTACTTAGCAGAAGCAAACCTCTTGTTAGAATTAGTGAAACGAAAAATATTAAGTATTCAAGAAAATGTACAATGTGAAACCAAATAAACATCATTAACACGCCCCTAGATAGATGGGGTGCACCTCTAATTTGTACATGAATACATACATTTACAAAACATATTTAAAAGGAGTAAAAACAGCCTAAGATGCAAAATTTTAAGTGAAAATTACAAAATGTTTACGAGAAGGCAGAGCCTCGGATCTCTCCCACCTCCAATAAGACCCACTTATTTCCTATTTTTCACTAAAAGTAGCACCCCTTTATAGATTTCTGCCTACTCCTCTGATTATAATCACTTGTTGAATGAAATTGCGTGTAGTACATCATAATAATTTCATAGTTTATTAAACTTGCTTATAAAATACAAAAAAAAAATGTTTAAGGGCAATGAAAAGGAGAATCAATAAAATAATTCGGTTTTAGTAAACTTTTAGAATGAGTTGTCGCCACGTTTCATTTAAGCATTCATTTAACTTGTGTTATAGGTTATTATATATATATATATATATATATATTAGAAAAGTGTTTGCTAGCTTCCTTGTTGAGTTATAGTATTATGTCTATTCTTATGGCGCTTAGATGCTCAGGAGCCACATATAAAAACATAGAAAAAAAATGTGTTAAAAGCTCTTTACTTAACGTTCCCAAATTTGACAGCCTTTTCCCTTGTTAAACAAGATAAGGAGAGTTATGAGAAAACAGAACCTCCTAATTGTACTTGGAACAGAAAGGCAAAGACAAAAAATAAGGTAGCGATTTAGAAGAATAAATAGACGAACTTTTTTTATCACCTGTAATAGAATTGTACATTTTCAGATAATGATTTACTGCTACACGTCTGGCTTTAAGTAAGCATTAAAGAAAAAAAATTGGAAGCTAGCCAACTGCTAAGTTTTAAATTCCTCAGGAAGACACTCACAGTTGAGAAGCATCTACGAAATACGTACGTGCAAAATCAAAGAATTAATAGTTTATAACAGCATTTATATTGATAATGAAATAAACAACACTCAAACAACCAATATTTAATTTCAACTAGAGAAAAAAGCACAATAGAATTACATAAGAAACTGCATATACCATGACACTTTGTATACCAACCCAGTTGGCAGACTGCTTGGCGTGAAACGACGCTGCTCATGCTGGTTACCATGACAACCCATGAGTTCGAAGGGCAAAAAAAAAAAAAACAAAATAGGCGGGCTATCAGTGCTACTGAAAACTTGCATCAGCTGAGGTTCTTCGCGAGCTCCCCAATGTGTTGATCTGATGGGAAACTGGTGACGCGTTTAAAAAGTCAAGACGAGTGAAGCTGTAGAAGCTGCATAAGAAGGGGGTTTAAATAATACTTATATTCTTTCCACCAGACTTTTCCATATAACAAATAACAACCTTGCTACCAGATTCGTGTTCAGGGATTCATTTTTTTATTTTTTGGCAACATGGAAATACGTCATCCACAGCTCGACAATTAACTCGTGCAATACTAATAATAATGATACAGACTTTGTTTTTAAAATTGGCCTATGAGTTATTAAAGAGCTTTGTCTTCCCGTATATTCAACACTGAAACACCTTTCTGTTCTTAACCACAAGAAATGATTATTATATCTTAAACTGATAGTTTTACATACTAAAAAAATTTAGTTTTTTTTTCACTTTTGGGCAAATATGAGCTTGATTTTCCGTTTATTGTGTGCTTAAAAAGTTTGATAAGAATGTATTTCCTTAAACAGTCTTTTAATTGTCAAAATAAAAGTTGAATATTAATCTTAATATTAATATTAACGTTTGCTTATTTATTAACCCTAGAAGGGTTTTGAAGACGCCAATAGGAATACATTTTGTTTTAATTACTGGACACATGACGTTACATATATACAGTTTGCATGTAATTATTAATTTCTTACAAAATATATTAAATAAATGTAATCAACGCTGCTTTTATCAGAGTTATAAGAAAATAAATATTACGTCAAAACACGTAAAACTGAAGAGTCATTCTTATCAATAAGGGCTTAGCACTACCTGCATGAATTAAGTTTCATATGAGAAAAACTCCAGATCATCTTACAAACGCCAAGGCTTGGAGAAAATAGTATAACAGATGAAATCCAGACGACTCTCTTGCAGGATTAAATCTAAATAGGGAATAAAAAATTGAACAAGATTGGTTTATTATTGTTTTATTCGTTTGCTTCTTTAGAATATTCACGCGAATCCACATAAGGGCTACCTACGTTAACCATCCGTCATAGCGGGAAGGAAGCTACTCAACAGCATCCACCGCCAAATCTTAGGCTAATCTAATAAATAGAGGGATCTTATCGTCATTCTTATAACGCATCCATGTCCCCAAAATATGGGGCGTGATTTCATAGTAACAAAGATCATGGACCCTCGGATTCACCTCTTGGCATGCTATGGAAATAACTTTCAATAGAAGTATATTTCATCTTTATATCTTAATTATTTTGTATAGCATCCGTGTAATGTACCAGTATAATTTATCAATAATATTCTCTTTAAATGAAGAATTAGCAAACAGAAAACGAAAGCTGTTATTTGTTGTTATTTTTAGCCTACACAATTGGCTATATGGTGATCTGCTAACTGCGGGGAATCGAGCCCTGTATTTTAGCGTTGTAAGTCCGTAAACCTACCGCTGACCCATCGTGGGATAAAAATTAAGGCAAATGTAAAATACGTTAGGACCATAAAATGTAAGTATTGGTTTAATAAAATTCGCATACGTCATAACTGGTTTTGCTTGTTGGTTGATTTATAGCAAAGGTTTTAAGGCTATCTGTCACCATCCCTAATTATGAGATGCCGATAAAAGGGATGACGAATGGTCAGTAGCACCAACCGCAAACTCTTGTTCTACCCTTAATCACCGAAAAGTAAGATTGACTGACACGTTATAACGCCCTTACGGCTAAAAAAGACTTCTAAAAGCGAAAAGAAGCGTGAACAGTGTACAAAACTACTTACATGTACATATATATATTTATAATCCTCTTTTTCTAAAATATCTTGAATACAAATGGGCAAATGTGTTAGTAATAATTTATTATGTAGTTGACGGAATTGCGGAATCACACATGGAAATATTAATTCATTAGATCATTAATTACACATGCTGACTGTACAAAACTGATTAAGTGTTTTGAGCGATTTATGAACTTATCATATCCAATTTCGCAATATTTTGTAACTCTCCGATTTTAAAGGTTAAATATGATTTTGTTTTCCATTTATGTGATTTTTGGATTTTTTATAACCGACTATTACATTCTATTTCAAATTTAATACGTGAAATACTTGACATTTATCTCAAACTGTTGGACAATATTTAAAAGAATATGTATATTATAATTATATGATACTGCAATATTCTGATTTTTTGTGAGACATCGTCTCGTCTCAAAAAAATCACAGCTATATAATCAAACATTCGTAAGGTTTTGCACACAATGAGGTAAAAATTGAAATCATTTTGTACAGTAGACTCGTTGTTTGTCATTATTTGTTCATAAGTTAGATAAAAAAAGTTAATTTTCAATGTTCGCGCGCCTAATCAGTACAGGCGTGAGAAGACACATTCTGAACACGTGTAAGTAGATGGACTCAACATGTAGACAAGAATGACACATGAGACAACGCCCGCTTCTCTTGGTTCACTCCTTTTGACTAGAGTTTCCAGCACCCCACTGGAGCCTTAGAGTAGATGTAATGTTCAGTTGTAACCCAATCTCATTAACAAAATTTCGAATTCTCTGGGAAGTTTTCTTCTTGATTAAACTTTCCAATCTTACACATGAACTCGTCTTCTGTAACACGTTGCCTGAAGGGAGAACATCTTAACGTCCATTTGTTGGTGGGTGCTAATACTTCTTCCGTCGACAACATTTATTCTAAAAAGTGTTTTCATTTACCAAAGCCCTGAATATTTTTGTTTTTATTTGAAACCGATGTGCTTGATATAGATGAAAGCTTGTTAACTGAAATAATTTATATATTTGCAAACTCGAACATTGAGGATTTCTTTTTGTCAAATTTGAAATTCACCACAAATATATGAAATACAAACACTAAGTTTTGTGTAATTAGGAAAAATACGACTTACTTCACTGTTGCACTTGGTAACAAGTATAGTTTGTTTGTCTGTTTGTAGTTACGCACAAAACTGACTACACAAAGGGGTATCTGTGCTCTACCCACCACTGGTATCGAAAATCGATTTATAGCGTTTTAAGCCCACAGACATACCGCTGTGCCACCGGGGAGCACAAGTATAGATTTTAAAATTTTTATTTCGCTTTTAACATATTTTACAAAATATTATCAAAGATATATTACGAACACACATTAAAATAACACACATCTTTCACA